TATGAAGAAAATAATGTTCTTGTGTTACATATTCAAAGATAGAGGGCGAACCTGATGCGGCATCAACAAATTGTCCATTGATTAGAAGTTGAGTGTGATTTATCTTAACAGCTGGATTGATTGGTTCCTCAGTTACAGCAGATGGACTGATTGGTTGTGCAGCTGAAACAGAGGTACTAAACCTGATTTTGCCTCTTCCCCAACTCCAAAATTCTCCTGAATATTAAGTTGTTGATTATTTTAGCCATGTTGATGCTCAGTACATGTCTTAAAAATCATACGAAGAAAGAACCCCTACAGTAATGAGTAATCACGATAGCCTAGTCTAAAGAATTTTGAACCCCAAAACACAAAAGCTGAAAAAATAAGATGTCTGAATGATAGAAGTGTGTTTTCTTTATTACATCATGTAACATCACTTGAGATTTTTGTTCCATCAAAGCTCATTTTTAACTAAAATCATGAAAACTAACCTTGTATCCTAGAATTTAGGACATCAATCTGAAAACTCAAGATATTCTACTCCAACAAGTTTGGGTCAAACACAAAACTAATTCACACATAGATACATTAAAGTACAAGCAGTGGAATCATGTTATCAAAGTAAAAGATTCAGTTCTTCTGTCTCCATACATTTTCCTAAGCAGAAGTTAGAGAAGCATGGAGAGAGATCAGTATTACCCAAAGAACATAAAGAAGTTGCAGCAGCAGTCGAAGAAGAAGAAGCATAAAGCAGAGAGGAAAGCTTTCTTGAAGCCATAACTGCACTAAAAATCTGTTTAGTCTGCTGATTTTTATCCTTATTGCTACTGTCCTAGTCACCTAGTCTCCTTGTTGATGATTCACCCACTCACTCTCTCTCTTCTAATTTAATTTTTCCTTTTCTTTGATTGGTTATAACTTGAACCTTTTCTGTGATACATTATTGCCTTTGTATTCTCTTACCATAACAAAATTGTCGTGTTCCATGTTTTTTCTTTCTACTTTTTTGGCCATTTGAGGCCTTTTTCTTCAATCAACAATTATCTGGGTAAAACGGGTTAGGTCACTTGTGGGTGCCATCTTGACAACCAACCTTCCTTTTTCACCTGTATTGAATTATTAATTTTTAAACTAACGTATCATATGTATTGAGTGAAAAAGTTTCATACCATTAAAAAAATATTCAAACAAGTTGATAATTATTAATTAATTTTAAGTTAAACACTCTTTTGCAAAATTGATCATTTTACTAACAAGAGATTCCAAAACAATGATGGTGGGTGCCACGTACCATCAACGGTCTTTGGCAGCAGCAACTTGACACATCCTTGATAATACATCACAACTTGATTCAGACGGCCCAAAAAGCGGTGAAATAGGTTTTGTTTGTATGCTGGGCATTTTAAACCGAACCAATGATTTACTTACAAATCGAATCGAAAAAATGAATTTGATTCGATTTTAATGGTTTTTGATTTTATTTTTTCAGTTTTGATATTAACCGAATATATTTTGGTTCAATTTTGATTGAATCTTTCAAAAACCAAAATTTGAAAATAAAATATTTAAAAACTGAAATTAAGATAAATATGATAAAATATGTGATAAAATATAGTATATTATTAAAAAAATAATTGATTATTATTTATTTATTAAAAACCAAAACCGAACCAATTTTAAACCGATTTATTGATAACCAAACTAATTAATTTTTTATAATTTTGGTTCGATTTTGGTTTTTAAAATTAAAAAACAAAAATTTTGGTTATTTTAAAACTGGTTTCGGTTTTAACCAAAAACCGGATTTGCCCACCCCTACACATATGCACCTTCGCTGTCTTCCATTATAGCTATGAGCTGACGACAAGGCCAACTTGCCCAAATGCTTTGTCCTGCTTGAATCTCGTGCCCTGAACGAGAATGTAGAGATTATAAACTAGCAAGTAATATCAGAAAAAAGGCTTCAACTATGAGCGTTGAACATCATAAGGAACATTTAGATGTTTAGTTACAAAAGATGGTGCACAGAGTTTTGTGATTGTGGGCGAATAAATCAACTAATACAGCAAAGTGTAGAGAATGTTGTCATCAATACTATTCTACAAGACAATTTACATATAGGTAATACAAAGTTTCTAACTAGTTGTTGGACTAACTAAACTTTGTCGTGGTCTACAGAGAAATCAGGCTCATCCGGCTTAAACAACTGGGGCACCTTTAAGCTGTTAGAAGAAGAATCAATGACACTAGCGTTCTGGTTAGATCCTTTTCTAGTATTGGCAGCAAACTTTGAGGCCAAAATTGTGGCACCAAGATGCTGACCAATATTGGGATCGTCAGGTGATGTCCTCTCATGGTTCTTATTTTCATCTTCTATCTTGTTTTCATAGTCATCATATTGTCCGGACGTGTAGTAGAAGCTGCTCTCTTGTTCAAACAATTCCTTTGCCAATTTTCTCTTCTTATACCTTCTCCAAGCAGACTGTATGAAGCATGCACCCCAGGCTCTCCATTGGTGAGAATAGTACCTAAAGGAATGCTGGAACTTCTTACTCTGAAGCCGCTTGAACTGATGTGCAACAAATTTAAGGTCTTCAGCTTGGAGTGCAAAAGCTTCAACTTCACTTTTTGCTAAAACTGTTCGAGTTGAAGTGGGCAGGTTTGCGGTAGAGTTGGGCATTAAGGCCCATGTCAGCAGTTCTTCACCACAGAAGTCACCTGGTCGAAGGGTAATGGAGTTGAAGAACCCAGACCTTCCCCCATTGGTTGTTGAGCTCTCTAGCTGCCCTCTGATGACAAAGAAAATCTCGTTCACTGGATCACCCTCTCGAAAAAGGAAAGTGTCTTTAGTGCTCAAAAATGATACTAGACGTTCACAAATTGCATCAAGAAGCTGGTCATCCATTTGTGAGAAAAATGGAACCTGGAAAATCAAAGAATGAGATCTTGAGTAATAATTCCAGGTGCAGGAACTAACTGCCTTCAGAAAAATTGGTTCAGGTGATTAAAACACCAAAAGAAATGAATTGAAATCTAGATTTAACACAAATCTAACTAATAGTCTTCTTTTTCCTCGACATCTCCACTCCCTTAAGGGGTATTGAACACAGAAAGATGCATGACACGGAGCAGAGAATGATTAGAGAAAAGAAACTATCTTCATTCTTCAGATTGTGCCCAGAACAAACGAGTAATGTTAACATGATGCATGAAACTAAGAAACAAGGGAGCTCTAGAAGCACAATGTTTACCTCACACTAGAATGTTGGTTTCATTAGGCCCAAAAAAAAAAAAAAAAAAAAAAATCCAATTCCGACAGCAGCAACAAATGAACCATCAGTAATAATGGTAAAATAATCACTAGATAAAGTGTCAAGGAAGACATACACGGCGAACAAGTGAAAGGCATAGGTGACGTTGAATTTCACGACGTAGGTCCAAGGGTAATGACTGTAATATTGATTCTTCGTCCACTCCTCTAGTAGCAAGCCATTTGTATTGAACAAACTGGAGGATACGATCTTGTAACTCTTGAGGTAACTGACGATGCCTCATCCACTCCTCAGTATCCCTTCGTTTAACTCTCCACTCTTCAAGTCTTACCGTCAGGGATTGCAGAGAAGTCTTTAAGAAAAAGAGGAGAAAAGAAAACTTACCATATCAGCATCTCTTTTTCAGTTATGTCATAAGTGACAACTACTCATGGATACAATTTAAGTATCATCTTTACAAGTCAAAAAGTGGTTAAACCGGGAATCTATGACTAAATGATATACTCAACTGGTAAACATTTATTGCCAATATATGAGTCATAAAGCCAGTAGGCTAGCTAGCAGATTCAAACAAAGCATTGACGAGATAAAGATATGTCCTACTAGCTTATTGCGAAGCATCGGATGATCTAATTTCCTATCAATTGCCTTCAGAACTATCTAATAGGACCAAATTACATCTGAATGAGAACACTAAACCACTCGCTAAATGTCATTTTCATAATCACCTTGATTCAATTGCCTTGTTGGAAGCTGATTGTAGCAGATGCTATGAACATCACCTTTTTACTTACCTAAACTAGCAGTACCCTGATTTACATTTGAATATAACTTATCACTAAAATAAAATTGTTACCAATGTGTAACATTCATTTGTCGTCTCCAATTACTATTGCTGCCAGTACAATTACTGCTATCACAATGACATGGACAGGTACTAGTAAACTAAGGCAGTGGCAGAGGATACCTGCATGTTGCCAATCAACAGAGAGAACAAAATCAAACCAAGAATGCATATGAGAATGCAAAACACTGTCTCCCCAAGGTATATACTTGTGTCCAGAGTCTGTCCATATGAACTGAAAAGGGAATAGAGTGGATAAATGTGAGCATGGTATCAGAAGGAACTTAAAAACATCATTTGTTAATAAAATATATGAAATTGTACCCAAAAAAAAAAAAAAAATTAACTAAACCACGCCATAGAAATTATAGTGAAGTGATTCCACTCAAATTACATGTAGCAGGCATTTATGCAATCCTATCTAAACAGTGTCTGCCCAAAAAACAAGTATACCACACAAATGCATGCAAGATCTACCTTCATGTTAGGCCAAAGACAAAAACATAATGCACATTGGGACAGGAGAATTGATCACCTAATCATCCAAAATTTAAAATCATACCTTAAGTTTCTTATACCCCACCAAAGACAATACAGGTACTTAACAACAAAATTCTGGGAGGCAACATCATTGGTAAAAGCATCAGCAAACATTCCGAACTTGAAATCAAGAGTGCTGTTCCTTGCATCACAATTAGCAAGCACACTGGTGACGTTGGACCAATATTGCCGTTCAGGGAGTTCCAAACTATTACAGTCTAGAAAACTGGGGAGGCAAGCTAGAACTTTTGCAGCATTCTCCTTAGTACACTCTGCCTTCCAGCAGGAGAACTGCCGCGTTATGGAACACACATACCATATTGCTCCTAATACCTGCACCAGTAGTAAATAGTTGTAACAGAATGAACTTTACCAACTAATTAAAAAAGCAGTGCACTGAAAAGAAATAGTGGTAAGATTAAAGGCGCACATGACTAGCTAGTACATAAAGGAGGAGATTGTATATAGCTCCAGCCCAAGCAGACTTAGCAACAACTCCAGTAGTTTTTATGATTCGCCTGTTTAGAGGGAAGATTTGAAACGCTCTAGGAATATACTGAAGGAGAACAATGAGAGCAAGAGTGTTGTTTGCATGATCTGCTCTGGAATTTCTTGTGGCCGGAATGACTATCCAGATGATAATCTGCATTGGCAGTTTAAAAAACAAAACAAAACCCACTAAGCAGCGTTACAAAATAGAATGAAATTGAAATGATAATCTGGGCACAAACAATTGCAATGGACCACGCCCACTACCCATGAAGGTAGAAAAGGTTGAGCCTTGTCCGTATCTATGGATGTGATGATTTGCAGATTCTCATGGGACTAGTCGCACCAAAGGCGTATATACACGGGACTTGCCTGGGGTAGAGGAAGCAAAGCAGCAAGATCAATGACGAAATCCGACCTCAAGTAGCGCCTAGCAATCTCCCCTGCATCCATAACAAGCTCACCCCTTCCGAAAACCCTAGAACTCGGCGCGACAAACGCAGTCCTGAACTTCATGATCATGTGCAAAAGGTAGAAAAGGTCGGCAATGGACCTGAAAACCGTGATGATTACCCCCATTCTGTTGTCGGTCTGCAAGCAAGCGGGGCCACCGACGTACGGAAGGAAGAAGTACAGGGGGTCTATGAAGAGCGCGATGAGGCAAGTGACGAGGAAGACGTGGTTCCAATACGTGACGATCTCGCTGTCTGGAACGAGGATCTGGTAGCGCCATAAGAGCAGGCTGTTGGTGACGATACCGGGGACGGTGGGAGGCGGAGGGGCGGAGGAGGAGGAGGAGGAGGAAGAAGGGTTAAAATGGCGGAATGATGGGATTATTCTATTCATCTTCCATTGCGGATTCCGATATTACACGGATTCCGCAGAAAAGAGGCGGGAACTTCAAGCGCCCAATAACGTTCAGATAGAATTGAAAGAAAAAGGGAAATGCTGGTGGCGGTGGCAATGATAATGACGACGATTGTGAGGGAATGTCGGAGGAGAGGGAGATTTGTTAATGGGGAGGAGATCTCTCTGGGAAAGTGGAGAACGTGCATGAAATTCGGGGGCGGGAAAGGTGGGTAAAATGTAAAATATGTCTAATTTTCTGTTTGGTTACCCAAAAAATCATGTCCTGTTTTTTAGCAAACGGAATTACAGCCAATTGAGCAGTGATTTAATGGGTAAGGGAAAAAAAATTTTTTTTTTTGAACAGATTTTACCTATATTAATTGGAGGAAAGGGGAATGAGTTACATGGGATTCGAATATACCACCCATAAGAATTGAATGGCTTTAAGTCAAAATTAATACCATTGGTTGGAACGGATTGTTTTAATGAGTAAGGGATTTGCTCTCCCCTTATTAATAAGATTTAATTTTTTTAGAGGCTAATAGATAAATAAGGTAGATGCAAGTTGACGAACTAAGAACACTCAAATTGCTAAACCTTAAAGACAAGCAAAACTATAGGGTTATGTTTGGAACCATGAATTTATATTTGAAGGATGTATTTTAAATATATGTATTTTAAAATTTATTGTTTGGGTTAATATAATAAAAATGAATTTGATATTCGAGTTGTTGATTAAAGCATTTTTACAAACACTTTCAAGATAGTCCTTTTGCAACTTCAGTAACAAACCCAAGCCAAATAACAACTTTCATTTCATCCCATCCACTAACAAAAAAGAAGTAGAAAAATCCCTAATACCAAAATCCAACATCCCCCACCAAGAGAACAAAGATAAATCTCAAGAAAACTTTTTATCAATCTTCTACCATGTTCTTGGCCTCAACACTCACTCCCATCTACCATATTCTCTCTCATCTACTTATGACCCAATCAAGGGCACCCACCTCTTCGTCTCCCTTTCCAACCACTCCTTCTTCCTTATCATCTTCTCCACCTCCACCTTCCACTCTTCCTCTGCCCCTTTAATGGCTCTTTGTTGCAAACTTTCAACTAGACTCACCCTTATCTACACGACTACACCCAGTACTAGTCCATCCACAAGTGATTAATCTTCCTTTGCCATGACACTCTAACTGCACATGTTTGCTACTCTACTTTGCTCAATATGCCTTAGGAGTTGTCTTCTATGATGGTTGATCATGTGAATTGTCACCCGCCCATTGCCAAAGAGGAGAATACGAGCTTGCTCGACCAAACATCTAGTTCATTGTAAGCAATGGAAGGGTGGGAGAGGAGAAATCATCCATTGTTGAGCTCCATCAGAATTAGGAGAGTTGAAATACATGAATCTAAATTTGAAATACATAGGGCTGGAAGAGAATTTGAAAGACATGGCAATGAAATACACAAACCTAATTACATGTATTTGGGTAAAATTTAATTACATCTTTATTTGTGAAAATAAACTATGATATTGAATTTGAAATAGCCAAATTCAAATACACTCTCTAAAAATCACGTTCCCAAACATACCATAAGTGATTTGTATTCATAGGTTTGTATTCATGACATTAGAAACTTCAAGTCTTTTTATTATTATTATTATTATTAAATCTCATTATATCTTAAAATTATATTAGATTTTAATTAATTTAAAATTAAATTAAATCAAACCCTATAAAAAAATTCTTCTAGTATTTGTCTCTTTGTTTACAAAACTTAAAATTTAAGACATTGTTCAAGATAAATTAAATTTGTTTTACTCAAATCAATAAATCGTTAATAGAAATTCCAAATCTTAATGCTTAATATTTTACTCAATAAATCGTTTTCAATATTTGTTTCTCTATTTACATACCTTAAATTTAAGGTTTTATTTTAAAAAATCAAATTTCTTCTATTTAGAGTAACAAGTCATTTAGGGATATTGTTAAGTCTTAACGCTTGAGGGGTAAATTGTTGGGCCAACGGGGTGGGCTTAATCATGTTAAACGGAGAAAATAAAATTAAGGTTTTTATCTAATGGTTAGAGTCCTTCAATAGCTTCCACATATTTTGTTTTTTTTAATAAATTAGAACATATTAATTTCGATTATAAAAAAAATTATTCATTTAAGTATGAGAATTATTCAAACTCATATATGTCAACTAATCTTTGTTAATGGTAATATTTACATAATTCAAATTGCATTTGTTTACTCTTTGACCCTAATTATAATCACCAGAGATATTGTTCTTTTTTTTTTTTTTTGACAGGAAAAAATTATTTGATTAGATGCTAATATCTATTGATTTGTAAAAAGATCGAACTTTGAAGTTGAGTGCATTCCACCACTAAAGTCCCGTGGGGGATTTTGCAATCAACAGAGATATTGTTGAAACTACTAATATTTTACTTTTTGTTAAATTTATTCTTTACCCACTCAATTTATAAAAAATATATGTATCCTTCTAATTTTATCCTCATTACTTTTGTAGTAAAAAAATAATTTAGCAAAACAAAAAGTAAAATATTGGTTATTTAATAATACCCTGACGGACATAACCAGAGGGCGCATGCTTTGTTCCCTCTTGAAAATTTTCCTAATTATATCAACAAAGATGTCTTGACTTTCAAGCAGATTTAGTTTTGTTCAAATCTTTTTCGTTTAAGATTCAATGTTCCATCTCAAATTTGGTGAACAGCCCACCAACCTCAATAAAGCATGCGATCATTGAACACCATTTAGTGAATTTGGTGAACAACCCACCAACCTCAATAAAGCGTGCGATCATTGAACACCATTTAGTAAAGTTCTTCATTCTTGTAATTTGAAATATCTATATTTTAGTACATGCTCAGACGCCCTTGCAATAAGTAAAGTCTACATTTTGATTTGACTTGACTAAGTAGATTCATTGGATTCTTTGGCATTAAAATCTCTATGAATTCCATTTCTCCATGCTTTTTCATGATTGGAGTAGGATTGCTAAATTAACAAACCCTCTCATGTTTATGGACAACAGGTATCATTATGTATTATATAAAATTAAGTAAAAAAATATGTTTAAAATTATATCATTTAATAAAATTTTATTAAAGATATTAATATATTTTAATTTTTAAAATAAAAATAAATTATTTTATTTTTTTTTTGTACTTTATCAAAATAACATAAATTTAACATATTATTTATTTATTTATATCTTGATTACATACTAATATGTAACTATCTTTCATCATTTATCTCATTTTCACTTGCACATTATACGATTCAAATTTATAATTTTTTACTTTTAACAAAAAAATATAACTATTAAATTATTTAAATTATTGATAACTTTTTTAATATATACTAATCATTTTATCCAAAACACTGTTTTTCTGCCTTGTTTTAGGCCCATTGTGTAATGGTGGGCTTCCCTGTAAAGTATCTTGCATTTTAAACTAGGAGGATGCACATAGCTACCCATTCAAGATTGAAATAACAAAAACCAGAACTTATGCGCCATTAACCATTAATTTAATGCTTTGGTGGAAATTACAAGAAATTTTGATCATATCAGCAAAAGCTTGATTGAAGGTCACCAAAAGAAATTGTCTTTTAGTTGAAGACGTGAATGACCTATCTACCACCATATTGGAAAAATAGTATGATTAGTAAGATACGTCTATATATTGATCCATAAAACACTGACTGCATTAAAAAAATGAGAAAAAAAAAAGGAAAAACATGCGTGCCGGAAAAAATGAGCAGACACTGGTGGAAAGTGGTGACCACCAAAGAAACTGACAAGACAAATACCCATTTGAAAGGCTCTCTGTCTTATATTATATGGAGACTTGTTGTCATGATGCTACTGCTTTCCTCACATTCCATTTTTTCTTATTTATCTTTTATCATTTTTGTTAAAAATTCAGAAAAACAAAAAGTAACATTACCAGATCCTCTTGTCTCACCTCCTTGATCTCATCGTTTTTATTCATAATCATATATCGTCTCATTTTTTTATCTTTAACTTTTTTTTTTACAAAAAGTAATGATTAAAAGTTAAAAATTAAGTTAATATTTTATTTTTTGTAAAATTTAATTATTGATTAAGGGTTCAATCCATCAATAACTCTATTAAACTGCAGTGACTACCAATAAATTACAAAAGGAAATGCTTTATCTTTAACTATACATTATTGGTTTTAAATAATTTTTGGGTCAAAGTGCATGGTTAGATTGAGTGGTCCTCATTTCATCCAATCAAACTCTAGACTATTTTAATAATAATAAAATTATTATTATTATTATTATTATTATGGGTAGAAAGTACTATTTTTTTTTCCTTCAATTATATAATGCCAGTAAACTCCTAGGTCTTGTACCGACTTTACCCATACATGTTATATTTATAATTAATATTACTATTAAGTTGCTTGAGTGCTCACCTTTGTTGAGTGCTTCTCTTATCCTAATATAGACATCCAAGGTGATCTTTTAATACTCCTCTAATTTAAGTATCTGATTCTCGAAGGATTTATTCTACACCAATACGGAATATTTGCATAAAAATGTTGGTGTAATTAATATTCTAGATGCAGATTTGAAGTAATGTTTCAAAGATTTTACACTTGGTCCAACTGCTTATGATCACTTACCAGATATTTCATATAAATAAAGACACAATTTTAAAAAGTGTTAAAAGATTTTTTTATTTTTATTTGTATTAAATGTCTAAAATGACGTGATTTTAATTAAGTTAAAGTGATTTTGCCTTTACTCTGTGGTTAATTGTATTTAAACAAAGCATATATCTTCTGTTAAGAAATAAACCCACTTTTGCCCTCAACTGCAAGTGTTTCAGCTAATTTTGTGCTTCTAGCTCTAGCTAGTGGCGAAGTCAGGAAATATTTTTAGGGGAGTAAAGTAAAATTTTGACTAAAAAATATAACTTTTTGTGTAAATTTGAAAAGTTAAATGAAAATAATTTAAATGACATTTGTTAGTTTTTAACTCTAAATCAATGGTAATTGATAATGTAATATAAAAACTATTAATTGAAAGATAAAAACAAACATAGATTAAATAGAATATCTACTATGAACAAAGGAAATACAAGTAAAGATATTAATAAACAAAAACTTGATAAAAAATGACAATAAACAAATTTAATTCAATTAAAGTTATATTTTTCTCATATTTTATATTATTTTTATTTTCTTCATCTTTCTCTTTATCATTAAAAGTAATCTTCAACAACATGAATACTAAAAATTGATTAAAAATGGTATGAAATGAGAAAGGATAAAAATGATAAAAATAAGACATAAAGGACCAAACTAAATTTTTTACAAAATTTTAGGGGGGGCTGTGCATCCTCAGGCCCCCAGTGGCCCCGCCGGTGGCTCTAGGCCACCCTTTTACACCATGTTGAATTTTCTTTATATTCTCCGAGTCTTTATCCTCCTCTAGAATTCATTGCTTGTGTTAAAAAAACAAGAAAAAAAAAAAGAAAGAAAAAAAGAAAGAAAAAAAAAAACTATAGTTCATTAGTTGAATATTGCTCTTTAAGTCTCTATCCTTCGGAATCATACAGCCGGTATAACCGAAATTGAATTTGCTTATTCAGGGTAGGTAAATCTAACCGAAAGTTCAAGCTAGTGTTTAATTCTCAAGCTTTTTCTTAAGGTTAGAATTTGTGTTGCATTATATCATGAGTTGTTACTTTCAACAGTATAATGTAGATATTATTTCAAGATTCGATCAAGTCAATGTTCTTTTAATCTGAGTAAAATGGGGAAAAATTTTTACTAGGGGTAGAATAGAGCAGTCCAGCGAAGGCCTACGGTTTGGTTTCATTGTGAAATCATTTTCAGATACATCACTTTCTTTCATCATCCATCTCTTCATATATATCTAGTATGGCAACTCATGCTTAATTTGCAGTATGAGTCAACTCGGTGGACTCACTGAGTCTCTCACTGCTAATAAAGTTGTGATTTTGAAGTTAGTGCATGCTCAGTTTGCAGGGCACTTCAGAGCCAAGTGGGGAAGATAACCCCCCCAAAAATATTCTATATAAAATATTCTGAAGAGAAAGGAAGGCAATAAGGAGAACCCAAACTTCCTTTTCTCTTCAGAAACCACCATTTCTCTTTCTTTCTCCAAAACTCACTCACGCCCACCATTTTTATATATATTCTATAGCTCCAACTCCAACCACCCCTCCTTGTTTTGCATACCATTCCCTATACTCGTTTTTGGTGTTTCGTGTCTGCTCTTAATTTGTCTGCATTCGTGTCTCCTAAAACTTCTTTCTCTGTACCCAAAAAAAAAAAAAAAAAAACTTCTTTCTAGAAAGATATCCTTTTTGACAAATCCTTTTTTTTATATTTGTTGTTTATTGGACTTGTATGAACTGGGGAGGGTCGTAAATACATCTGGGTACTCTTTATTTTGGCTCAAAATTTCAACTTTCTGTGAGAGAATGGATTTCTGAATGATTCTGTGGGAGCGTTGTGATGGATCTTGGAGTTGGGATGTCTAACAATCCAATCAAGGTATGACATGTGTCACTGAGTTTTGCAAAATGCTATTTTTGGTAAAATAACTCAGCTTCTTGTTCATGATTTTGGTTATTCTTTTCCATTGTTGCAGAAGGATTCTTGGAAGACAGTGTTAACTCTGGCATATCAGAGTGTGGGGGTTGTCTATGGGGATTTGAGCACTTCTCCTTTGTATGTGTACAAAAGTGCTTTTGCAGAGGATATTCAACATTCAGAGACTAATGAGGAGATTTACGGGGTCTTGTCTCTGGTATTCTGGACATTGACATTGATACCATTGGTGAAATATGTGTTTATTGTGCTCAGAGCTGATGATAATGGAGAAGGTGGGACTTTTGCTTTGTATTCATTGCTATGCCGCCATGCCCGGGTTAGCTCCTTGCCCAATTGTCAGCTTGCAGATGAGGAATTATCGGAGTACAAGAAAGATGGGATTGCATCAAATGATAAGAATGTTGGGTTGAGATTGAAAGCAACTTTAGAGAAGTACAAAGTATTGCAGAGCGTGTTACTTGCGCTGGCCCTGATTGGAACTTGCATGGTCATCGGTGATGGGGTGCTTACACCTGCAATTTCTGGTATTTTACTATATGGTATTAGTTGATTTTTGGGTTTAGTTGGTAAGTAGAGATCTTAGAACTGAAAATTCCTTGATTTTTGGTGGTGTATGCAGTTTTTTCAGCTGTGTCAGGGGTAGAGCTTTCCACATCCAACGTTCAACACCGCTGTAAGTTCCTGATTTCAGAAGCCAATTTGTTCTTGTCAAAATTTCATGATTCCTATTTCGTAGCATCAGTATTTTTTTTAGGAGGGCCATAAGCATCAGCAATTGTTTGAATAACAATAATTGCTTGTGTAAACAATGCTGCTTCATACATCTAGTTGAGTCATGAACGCGTAATAACATTTAGAAGCTTATCATCTAACAAAAGTAAACTTTTCTTCCTTCAGAACCAGAGATCAGATTATCAGAATCTGGAGGCTTAGAAAAATAGCTAATTTATGATATAAAGCATTAAAGTCTGAACAATCTCTGTCCTGCTTTGTTGCTTTGAGCATCTTTATAGGTCATAGACAATAAAGTTCCTTTGGCAGTTGGCATTCTCATACCATGATTTTCATTAAAGAGTTGGATTCTAGTCTGGTAGCCAACCCTTGAATATGATGTTGCGTATTCGTTGCTTGAATTGGCTGAAAATTCAAGTTTCCTCTTTTTTTACAAGTTATTTGTGGACAGGAAATTAGTGGAGAAAACAGAAGTTTAGTAAATTATGAAATAAACATGCTTATTATGGGTCCACACGAATATTATTAAGAATGACTCCCTTTTATAGCCAAATAAAAATCACCATCAATGTAGCCATAAAATATGCTTGGATTGATAACGTGGAGGGGTCAAAGTTGACAGCTTCCTATTCATAAAAAAAGAAAAGAAAAGGTAAAGGTGCAAGCATGTGGCCAAGAAGGGAAGTTGAATTACGTATATTAAAGTAGGCAAAGCTGCTAACTTTATAAAGCTAAGATGTCGCTATAAGGTGGAGAAAAAAAGGAGTTTGGTAAATAAAGATAGAGCCATGATAATAAAATAAAATGGGAATAGTCTTCTGCAGTCAGCTTATTATGTGATGAGCTCCACTTCCCCTCATTGGCAGTATTGCTTTTCTTAATTTTTAAAGTGGTGAAGCTGATTGGGCCAGGAAAACAAAAACAAAAACACAAAAAAAAAAACAAAAAAAAAAAAAAAAATGGTCAAACATATAAAAGACCATCAGAAATTGGTGGGTGAAACACCATAATAGATCTGTTTCTCTGGTTGACACGGCTGATGTAGTCAAATTATCTCTTTACAGACATAAGACAATTCTTGAAGATACATATTGTATTTGAGTTTCCAAGTTTTTGACAGCTGTTCCATTATCCTGCTATTTCTAAACTAGATTGAGTTGTTCATCACAATAGATTATCTTTTGCTCTTGGGCTGTCGGGCTGTCATTCGTTTTCCTGCATCCTTTAGATGCCAATCTTTTCAAATTTTGTGGGCAACGTGGACAATTGGACACTGAATTTTCTACCAGGTTTTATCTAGAGCCAATTCAAGTAGAATTTTGGAGTTCATTGAATAACAAGTACCAACTTAGTTTGAAGTAATGGAAAACAACTGATTTACAGTTTTCACAGAAGACATCAGATGACCTCTAGATTGCAATTTCCTATCAGCTTAACATTCTTACCCCTGTAAATTTTAGGAGAATGTTCTTTTTGGAACTGTTGCGGCTTTTATACTGGTAAAAGAAAGTTTAAAGTATTATTCAGTTCCCTGATCTATCCTCCTTCTTTTACTCAGAAACTATATTAGCTTGCTGTTTGTAGACATACCGTTTGACTAGATATTAAGATTGATAAAGGTGTGGGGAATGCTAAAAGAATGTTATCCAAGAACTTAACACAAAAAGCTCTTATATGCTTAATATAAGTTTCCTGTATTGATTCTGCAGATATTCAAGTCCCAGTTTCTTGTGCTATATTGGTATTTTTGTTTGCCCTTCAACATTATGGTACGCACAAGGTGGGATTCTTGTTTGCACCAATTGTGGTTACATGGCTTTTATGCATCAGTGCAATCGGAGTGTATAATATTTTCCACTGGAATCCCCATGTTTACCAAGCACTTTCCCCATATTACATTTATAAGTTTTTGAAGAAGACCCAAAAGGGAGGTTGGATGTCCTTGGGTGGAATCTTGCTTTGTATAACAGGTATAAGAGCATTGGCTATGTCCTACCACTGTTCACTTCTGCAGGCATTTCTCCTTTTCACTTGCTAATACTCATAATCTTAATATTTCAGGGTCAGAAGCTATGTTTGCTGATCTTGGACACTTTTCACAGTTATCAATCAAGGTAATTTATTGCATACTACTAATTTTGCAAGTGCAGCATTGCATTCATTGATCTGTAGTTTTGTAAAAAAGTACTCCTGCTGGATCAACATTCAACTTGCCTAGAGTTTGTTCCTAGTGCCCTGCCCAGTCATACATCTAAAGGTTGCTTAGAAAGTTCTGATTATGCTGATGAGGAAGAAGGTGAGATAGCACTAAGAATCAACAAGTTCTATTTGGAATCTTCCTCTTAACCTCCAATCTCCTAATGATGTTGAATGGAGCAACTTCTTTTGTCTTATTGACATTCTGATATATTTCATACTTCAGCCAGATAAACAATCTTGTTGCATATTATTGGCAAACCATGAAAACAATGAGTTAAAGGAAAAAATTTGCAAGTACTAAAAAGGACCGCTTATGAAGATAAGCAGACTAGTTTACTTTACAAGAAAATCACTTGTATGATAACCTATACATTTCATGCACAATTAAAACAATTACTGTTGTTAGGTGAAATTTGTTTGAGTTCAAGATATATGAGCAGTGACTTCTCTATTAGAGATGGTGATAATTTATAGTCACCTAAAGCAACTTTCCTGCAGATAGCTTTTACCTTCATGGTGTATCCATCCTTAATACTGGCATATATGGGACAAGCTGCTTACCTTTCAAAACATCATTCCTTGAACAATGACTACCAAATTGGATTCTATGTATCAGTCCCAGGTGGGTTCTAATTCATGGCTGACAACTAATACTCTTTAAACTTCAAGACTGCTTAGCTTAGTTAAAGCATCATATTATTTCAGATAAAATAAGATGGCCTGTTCTGGGTATAGCCATACTTGCAGCAGTTGTGGGAAGTCAAGCTGTCATCACTGGAACTTTCTCCATTATCAAACAGTGCTCTTCTTTGGGTTGCTTTCCACGGGTTAAAATTGTCCATACATCCTCGAAAATTCATGGCCAGATTTACATTCCAGAGATCAACTGGATCTTGATGATGTTATGCTTGGCTGTGACAATCGGTTTTCGAGACACAAAACGGTTGGGGAACGCATCAGGTTTTTTCTCTTTTCCTTTCTTTCTTTCTCTCTTTCATTTAACCCATCTTATAGGTTTTTTAAGTCACATCATTGTCATTATTGTAGCATCTTCTTTTGTAAACAGGTTTGGCAGTTATAACTGTTATGTTGGTCACTACATGCCTAATGTCCCTGGTTATTGTCTTATGCTGGCACAAAAATGTCCTTTTAGCAATTTGTTTCATATTCTTCTTTGGGTCCATAGAAGCACTCTACTTTTCGGCATCTCTCATCAAATTCCTTGAAGGGGCTTGGGTTCCCATTGCACTTTCGCTCATCTTTTCGATGGTTATGTATGTTTGGCACTATGGGACACTTAAGAAATATGAGTCTGATGTTCAAAATAAGGTTTCGATAGACTGGCTGCTCGCTCTAGGTCCCAATTTGGGAATTGTTCGCGTTCCAGGAATTGGCCTCATACACACCGAGCTTGTGTCTGGGATCCCAGCTATTTTTTCTCACTTTGTCACCAATCTTCCAGCTTTCCATCAGGTTGTAGTCTTCCTTTGCATCAAGTCAGTCCCGGTGCCACACGTTAGGCCTGAGGAAAGGTTCCTAGTAGGAAGAGTTGGTCCAAAGGAGTACCGGCTCTATAGATGCATTGCTCGTTATGGATATAGGGATGTTCACAAAGATGACTTGGAATTCGAAAAAGATCTGGTTTGTAGTATTGCAGAGTTCATTCGGTCAGAGAGGCAAGAAACTGTTATTGGGATAGAGGATGTTGAAACTGATGAGAAAATGAAAGTTGTTGGGACTTCATCATCAAACCTAGAAGGCATAAGAATGTGTGAAGATGGTGAAGATTCTTCTGAAATGGTAAGCTCCTCAGAGCTAAGGGAGATAAGGTCCACGGAGAAGCCAAGGAAGAAAGTGAGGTTTCTTGTCCCAGAAAGTCCACAGATTAACCTTGATGGACAGGTGGAACTGCAGGAACTGATGGATGCAAGGGAGGCGGGAATGGCATTCATACTCGGGCACTCATACATGAGGGCTAAGAAAGGATCAAGTTTGATGAAGAGGGTGGTGATAAATTTGGGATATGATTTCTTGAGGAGGAACTCCAGGGGACCATGTTATGCTTTGGGCATTCCTCATGCATCTACACTAGAGGTGGGGATGGTTTACCATGTTTGAAAATGACTACAGTATAGCTTATTGTATTAAAGAGCTTTCTGTTCAGGTCAATATTGCATATGATAGAGCACAAAGCATTTTTGGATGCCAAAGTGCATTGCAGAGATTCTGATGTTTTGGAAGTTCCTACTTAGGCTTGTACATTGTAAAGTGTCAAGTCTCTAGTCTCCAAAGAATGGGCTACTATTGGACAAACCGCATCAAGCAACTTCTTTGGGGAGAATCTACAAGGATATTGTAAAAGTTGTAAAGAGCAGCAACTCTTTCCATATATGGGATACAAATATTTTGTAATCTAGTTTCTGCTTCTGTTATTACTTTCAGCTGGTCATGTTCTAATTGTATCTATGACAATCTCATGATTCAAACCGACAAACTTTGTCTTCAAGAGAAAGAGACTACTAATAAGCCATTGGTAAGGCCCAATAATGTGTTAATACTTGATAGGCGTAGAAGTTATGGATTGATGTTAAATGGGCAGGATTGGACCCAAAGGGCAGGAAATGTTCTGAATAAGGTTTTTTCAAGTCTCTGTTTAATTTGGTTGAGATTTTGCCAACACCCAATTCAATTTTATCGAAGTCAATATTTGCAAGCTCCTAATTTATAAATTGGGATTCAAGGGAGGTTGAGGTTCAGATTCCTATGGCACAATGCCCAAAGAAAGAATTCAATGGAGAGTAAGATATCGATCCAGTCATCTCTCAGCCCTGAGGAAATGCTAAATCCATAGTCTCACCTCTTGGGACCTGAGATCTTCATCAATTTTCTTGATCATATTTAAACACATGTAAGTATCTCTAATAAGTTTATTAAATATCACATGTATAGGGCTTTATTTTTTATTTTTTATTCTTTTAACGTCGTTGTTTAAGCTTAAAGCAGAAGCTACAAGCATTAATTTTAATAAAGTTTAGAATTTGACTCTAAAGTGGTCTTCATCATGATCTAATTTGCTAAGGCATACAAAATCAGAGGTGAAGAAAAGTGCTTCATTTATTCTCATGGTCATTATTGCCTCAAATTCAAAGAACAAAAAAGCAAAATACATTCTGGAGAGACAGGGAGATAGAGCACATGATACTACAGGCAAGTAGAGGGTAAAACCAAAAGGGAAAATATTATTTCATTCAAGTTGTTGAAACCAGAGATTATTTACCCACTCTCACCTGGAACTTTGTAAAGAAATGGTCCAGCTCCAAGTTTCACTTCTTTAGTTCTTTATCCTATCATTTTCCCAGTCAATTCTCAAAAAGAAATATCTATTTGGACCCCTAAATTTTGACCCTTCCTCTTTACATTTCATTTTTATTTTTTCAGTTACATAAAGATTAAACCCCTTAATCTTAAATTTTTTCAACTTGAATTTCTTCATTTAATGGTAAGAAAGAGAGAGAGAGAAAAAAAAAAAAAAACCTTTACCATGTTAGTACTTGATAATTTCATTTAGATATTTTAATATTTCCATTATTTTTATCATTTGGTGGAGAAATGAATTGCTTTAATTATTCAATAGTAAACTTAAGATTAGAAAGCTGAACCTTCAATTTAATAATTTGTTAATGAATTTTAAGTATTTGGATTTAGTTTATGGAGAATTTGATTTCCACCGACAACTTAAAAATATATTTTCCATTTCTAAATTTCTTAATGTCCAAAAAAACCCAAAATTTTAAATTTAAATTAAAGGAAGATTATATAAAAAAAGGTAAAGCTTAAGGAAACACTAACCAGAGAATATGATTCCTCATATTGGCATTTACCATGATCCTTTGGCTCTCCCGTCACTTTACTTTCTTTTCTTCTTGAAAACAGTTCCCTTGCATTAACTATGAAACCTCCCATAATCACCCTAAGCTCTTTGCCTCTTTCAAAAAGATTTTTACTGATTAACATGTAAAAGGAGAAAAAGTGAAAAACATTGTCTGCTGATGTCTCCTTCTCTAGTGGTTATATATATAAAGAAGAAAAAGAGTTTAAGGTTTCAAATCCTCATGCTTGAGCATTATTTCTTGTTCTTTGCTTGTTCATCTCAGAAAACCCAACAATGGTGAGAAAATGGGTAGCTTTCTCTCTCATTTTTTTAGTTCTCTTTAGTGGGTTATCATCAGTTTCTGCCACCCCTCCTGCAAGTGAGTACTATAACAAAGCTCTTACCTTTACTCTGTTTTGTTCCATTTTGTTCCCATTCTGTTTCAGATTCTTACTCCATTTTTATGTTTTTGCAGAAATTGTAACTTCTATTGTCTCAAATGTTGTCTCTGCCCTTGTGAAATGGTTATGGTCTCTGAAATCAACACCCAAAACAAGTAAGTACAGTTAACTAAAGTTCAAGTTTTTACAAACTTTTTCTATTTCCTCTGTTTTGAAGCCGTTTACATGGACGTTATTGATTGTCATTTGGGTTAACGGGCTTGCCGGGGCTTGTTGTTTTAGCTGTTTCTAGCCGTTCCATGTTGAAATTTGAAGATGGGTACACTGTGGAGACACTGTTTGATGGAAGTAAGAATGGAATTGAACCATACTCTGTTGAGTTTTCCTCTAGTGGGGAGCTCTTGGTTTTGGATTCTGAGAACAGTAACATTTACAGGATCTCCATGCCATTGTCTCGATGTAAGTTACTTTTTTTGTAAATTTTTTGGGATTTATGCTTCATTTTTGATACCATTGCCAGGATGATCATTCAAATTCTTTATTTAAAAGATTGGTAGCTTAGTTGGTTTTCGGATAAGTACTTAGCTTCATACTTGGGGCATTGTTTGTTGGTTTCTTTGTGTCAAAGATGTTTGGCAGATTCTTAAGGCTTATTTAGAACCTTGAAAATGGGTCTGATAAGCTTTTGTTTAGGTGAAGACTCCTCCTTTTAAAAAGTACAATAGGACAATAGGACTTTTGGTTCTGTTGCTCCCTCCCCAGTTCACCTTTTTGAAGATTTGCACTTTTTTTTCTTGCCCCAAAACACACTCTCTATTTACTAATTAGACTTGTAATTTACTCCTAGCTTTTATCTTTCTAGAACAAGATTTAAGGCTTCTATGAACTTTAACATTGGAAACTCTAGTCCATTTTGCTATGATTTGCATATCTTGTTCTTCTTCAAGAAGCTGAACACCTTTGGTTCATTGGAATCCTTAAAAACTTATAACCCAATTTCACTTTGCTGTTCTAATTGTTGAATCATTTGAAAACTAATAAAAGATGCAAAATTAGTACCCCAATTTTTCTTCTCTTTATGAGTTGGGAGTTGCCCAGATTCTTATATTATCTGACTTGCAAAGATCACTTTAGTCTTTGACATTCAAAGCATCTCCATCATTTTGATTTTCTATGCTCTTTTGTTTGTTTTCTTTGTTCTCATTTGAATTAATGACAGAATTGAACCTATAATTCTTTCATATGCTGAAATTAGTAAAGCAATGAACTACAGATAGCAGACCTAAGTTGGTTGTGGGATCAACTGAAGGGTACACTGGACATGTGGATGGTAAGCTAAGAGAAGCAAGAATGAACCACCCCAAAGGGCTTGCAGTGGATGATAGTGGAAATATATACATTGCAGATACAATGAATATGGCTATCAGGAAGATCAGTGATACAGGTGATTCTGGTCATTTTAAGGCGGTATCCATTTTTCTGTAGCTAACATGTTATCATACCATCCCATCTAACGTGGCAAACTCTTTTTGATTATTGGAGGATTTGGTTCAAAAACCATTGCTAGTTGCCTTAACAAAAACTTTTGAATTGAATTTACAGTGTATGATTTTATGCAGGAGTCACAACCATTGCTGGAGGAAAACGGAGCCGAGGAGGAGGGCATGTTGATGGTCCAAGTGAAGATGCAAAATTCTCAAATGATTTTGATGTGGTTTATGTTGGAAGTAGCTGCTCTCTTCTGGTTATAGATAGAGGAAACCAGGCAATTCGTGAGATCCAACTTAATGAAGATGATTGTTCCCATCACCATCAGTATGATGGCAGTTTTCATCTAGGTAAAACTATTTTATTAATAATTGTTCCGTTCAACCCATGTCATTTTCTTTCAAACTCAAAAAGCAACTGAAAATATATTATCCATCATTGCAGGCATGGCAGTGCTTGCTGCAGCTGGATTCTTTGGTTACATGTTGGCCTTGCTGCAGCAAAGGGTGCAAGCAATGTTTTCTTCTCGTGATGTAAGTGGATAGTTTGAGGTTCTGATTTTCTGATATTTACATGATATGAACTAGAAAAGTTCTTGAACTTTGTAGGACCCAGGAACTTTAGTGCATAGAAGTACAAAAGTGGCACCATATCAGAGGCCTCCAAAATCAGTCAGGCCTCCTTTAATTCCTAGTGAAGATGAACATGAAAAGCCAGAAGAGGGCTTATTTGGTTCAATTGGGAGACTTGTCCTCAACACTGGCTCATCTGTGGCTGAAATATTTGGGGGATTGTTTTCTGGCTCCAAGAGGAAGCCCTACTATTATCAATTTCAGCATCAATATCAGCAACAGGCTATACGTCCTAATGGGTGGCCTATGCAAGAGAGCTTTGAGATTCCTGATGAAGACGAGCCACCATCCATAGAAACCAGAACACCCACTCCAAATAGAACCTACCCCTTTATGACCAAAGACCTTGAGACAAAGCACCATATGAAGCAAAACGGGGCATACTATAATGGATGGGATGTTGGATATCAGCAACAGCAGAAAATGCAAATGCAGATGCAGCAGCATCAGCATCAGCAGCAGCACCAACAACATCAACACGACCATCATCGGCATTATTCATCAAACCTGCAAACTTATTATGAGAAGAGCTCTGAAACAAATGAGATTGTTTTTGGTGCAGTTCAAGAGCAGGATGGAAGGCGTGAAGCTGTTGTGATGAAGGCTGTAGACCATGGGGATCCCCGATACAGTCATAATAACATCCGACCCCGAATCAATTACATGGGTTACTCCCATGCCTATTGATCATAATCCACCGCTGCATATCGAACATGGACGATGGAAGAGGCCATACAACTCGTTTGTTTCCTTGTCCGAGAAGAAATATCCAGTTTCAAAGTTCTTTCCTGGTAAAAGAATGTGGTATGTACTTAGTTCCTTTTTGAGCAGAACTTAAAGAGTGGTAAATTACTGACATAATATTTCTAGATATATTTGTACTAAATCAAATATCAAACAGAAGTTCAGGATGCAGAATCATGATCCGCTATAGGGTTTGTCTCTAAGTTTTTCAATTAAGAAAGATACGAGCATGTTTGAAACAGAAGTTCAGGAGCATGTGTTTCTCTCAATTCTTTTTGGCCTTAAAAATTCATGTTTATCACTTGAAAACATGCAGAATCCCAGCAAGAGTGGAAGACTTTATGCCCACATGCAAGATAAATACTGCTGCTGGCAGATTGATGACATTTGTCCTGTCCATTTATTGATTTTTTTAAAGTATTAATCACTTGATATTCAATAACCACATTAAATTTAAACTAATTTAAAATGAAGTCACATCAGATCTTATGAGGAACTCTTTCTATGCTGGTTTCTCTATTCATCCATATTTTGTAACTTGTTAATATCAACTTAAATCATTGCTGTTTTGATGAGGATCATTAGCCTCCATTGGATCAAATGAGTGGCATAATCACCGAGAATCATATATCTATAAATTCCATAAATTATATAGATCTATTTTTACTAGCTAAATGCCATTTGCCTTTTGTTTTAATGACTGAGATTTAATTTTTAACAGATATTCAACTTTTCAGAAATTAAATAATTCCTCACAAATTCAACTTTTTACAAAGTTTATTGCTTTTGAGGATTAAGAGATACAGTTGTGAAGGAAATATTTATAGGCTTTGTCTAATTGCAGCAAGTAATATTTTAAGTCACTTAGACCTTATTAATTATAGTATTTGTAATTACTTATATATAGATTTTTATATTAAATTTATATAATTTTATAGATTTTAAATATAAATATTATATTATATTATATTTTGATTGAATTTAATATAAAAATTTAAACAAAATAAATTATAAATATTACATTTAATAAAGAAGATATATATTAAAAAATCCATATTTATAATACCTGATAGGAAGAACTAGTGGCGTTGTTCATTATAGTAATAAAATAATATATATATATATATTTTAGTAATAAAATAGACGATTAATAAATTGTTTGATAATATTATGATTTTCAATACTTATTAAAAATAAAATATTATTTTAATATTTTACTATTTATTTTTAATAATAAATTTTTAACTATTATTTTTCTTCTTTTATAACCTAAATACATTTCAATAACTGACAAAATGGGTTGGGAAATACTAATTTAGGGAGAAGATGATGAGGGTTTGGATCCTTTTTTTTTTTAATTTCAAATATTCTATTATTAATAACTACATTAATTAAATTTAGTAAAAAATTAAATGAAATTAAAAAAAGAAAAGAAAGTTGTTACAATTACCTCCGTTTTCAGTTACATTCCATTAAATACCAGCCAATTAACATTAGAATTAAAAAAAAACAATTAATTAAAAATAAATTAAGGCAGAAAGCAAACCGTCATCTTTAGAAATTAAATCGCGATCTCTCCGAAAGAGAGAAACCAGAGGAATAAGGGAGAAACGCAAGGAAAAAGGGAAATCCAATTTTCTTTGCTTTTCTCTCCTCTTTCTTCTTCTGCCATTTTTCAAAAAAATAAAAAACAAAAATCAAAATTATGCGGCCGCAGACCCCCGATATCTCCTCCCCTGATTCCGATGACATCCAAGATGCAGCCTTCGCCAATCGGCGCTGCTGTTTCTGTATTCCCTGTCCCGATGGAGTTGGATCGGTCTGGTGGCAACGAATTGGGAATGTAAATCCAAGCGACAGCGACAACGAGGAGCCGTGGTGGATGCGAGGGTGGAAGAAGGTTCGGGAGTGGTCGGAGCTGGTGGCGGGGCCCAAGTGGAAGACGTTTATCAGGCGGTTCAAAAGGTGCAAACACGGAGGAGGGGTGAAATTGGGGAAATTCCACTACGATCCCTTGAGTTACTCCCTGAATTTCGACGAAGGCGCGGGGCAGAACGGTTACTTCGACGAGGACGACTACAGGAGGAATTTCTCTACCAGGTACGCCACTTTGCCATCCTCCGCGAAGAGCTCCATGGATCTCGGCCGTGGCGCGCCGTTGTTTACGTGACCGTTTGGGCGGGAATTTGTTCGTTCGGTATCGTTCACGTGACAGTCTCGTGCACCATCGCCACGTGGAGCGCCCGATTCTCCGACAGCGTCGGTCGGGACAACTTTCTATTTGTTCTAGTAGTTGATTTACGGTTACACCGACACACGTATGGCCGGTGTGGAGACTGGCTCTCACCGCCGGTTACGGGGCTTGCGTCAAAGTAACGGTTAAGAAATTAAGGTTTTTTTTTTTCTTTATAATTATCTCCTCCTCCTCCTCCTCTTGAATTTTTTTACTCCCTTTTATCGGCTCATTTTTTTTTTATTTTCTTAATTTTTTCTGAGTTTTGAAGGTGGAAAGGGTCTGGTTTTTGGGGTATTTGTATGTTTTCATAAATGTGAAACAGTGAATTTCAATGGAAATGAATATTTTCTTTAACAAATGTCTTTATAATACCAATCACAAATTGATAGGAGTAGGAAAAATTCGGTTGGTTTCAAATCTAACTAAAAGAACTTTTTCTTATATGATCGGACTCAATTTAATTTTAAATTAATCAATATATAATGTAAATTTTGAATATTGAGGATTTAGCACAAAAAAAATCTCTATAGTGGGTTTTTTTTTTTTAAGCCCAATTTTTATTAACTTTCAGATTAATCCTCTTCAAGTAATTTTGCAGTGCACTTTAGACATTAAGTTGGTGCATTCAAATGGAGACTAATTCTCTTAGGAAAATTTTAAGTTAGAGGAATTAATGTTTTTGTGTGTTAATAAAATGTTAACCCTAAATTTAATTTATAAAAACGATATTTATTTAATTTAATTTATTGAATCTTGAGATTAGTTTATATCCCTAACATTGTCGGTCAGTGATAATTGGGTGGTGTTATTGCCACAGCTTCAAAGGTTAATACCACAGCTTTTTTAATTAATTGACCATTAACCCACGCGGAGAAGGTGATGACTGCTGCAAGTTGGATTCAAAATGAGGGGTATAATAGTCAAATAACTAAAAAAAGCTGTGGCATTAACATTAGTGGCTGTGGCAATAACCCCACCCGTGATAATTGGACTTCATTTGGGCTTCCACCAAATGCTTTCGTCAAAAACTCATTTGGACTATAATCATAAAAGAGGGCCCTAACAAGCCCAAAAAATTTTACCGGAACTGATGAGATCCACCGTCCACGCGCTTGGCCTGGGCGAGTGGGCTTTCGGAAATCCGTGCGTAGATAAAGGTACAAAGAAAACACGAGACAAAAGTACCTGTGAGGATCAGATGGTGGGTAAGTTGACAGCATCGGAGATTCACAGTACTGTTGAAGACAAAGTGACATGTGGTCCACATTCGAGATGCTCATATCTAATATCAAGATTTGCGATTGGTGAGAAAGAGTGCGTTTTGTCCTCGTTACTAGGACCATGGCATACTTTATCTCCGGTGGAGGAGATTCCCCCACTTCCACCGGTGGGGCTGGTTACCTCCTATCTCTTCCCCCTACCCTCTTCTACAAACCACCTTTTCTTCAGCAACTAGATGTGTCATGAACTAGCTTTCTACACTTTCATGGTTCATTTATTTAAATGGATTAAAAGTAGACCATTCACATAAGATTTAGAAATTACTTCGTTGATCTCTCTAAACAATTGACACAACAAAGTAGGAAACAAACAATTGAAAGCTACCTTCCAAGTTGAAAAGTTGTAGCTTCAAATGTATAAAATTTCACTATTTGTATAGACATAAGTTTGTGCATCACAAATGTTTTGGAATGGAGAGAGCATTTCTCTCCTTGGCAGTTCTACATGAACAAATATATCAAAATCCATCACGCTACTGCTGCCCCAAAACAGGAGCAAAAATGTAGGATCCCATTTTTTTTATCTCGTTCTCATCCTCCTAGTCTTAAAATTTTGGTAGCACTTTTCTTTTTCTTGTTTACTTTCTTTTTTACTTTCTTTTTACTCTGTTCCCCTCTTTCCACTGTCTTTTGACTGTTATTTAAGTCTTTAACACCTTCTCCTCAAACTTGATGCATGCACTTGATTGATTAATTCATCTCCCACCTAAACTTATTTAATAATATATGACTAATTGAAGAAAAGAGTTTAATTTCAACAAAACCACATGGGAGGTGCCAAGGATGACCCCACAAGATAGCTACCATATCTACGATTTTGAATTAAAGGAGTCATTCACACACAGTATCGAAATGTTTTGGTCACATTGCTTTCATTAATCCCGCCATCACTGTCCAATTCCAAAAGATCACATTATCCCAAATTGGTTGATGTATATAAAAAGGGAAAAAGAAATGGGGAAAAGACCCAAATACCTCAAAAGCCAAGAAAAGCTAACATAGATTATGTTCTCATAGATAAACACCTATGCTTGTTAAAGAAGCACCTATACTTGTTAAAGAACCAGGGTTCAGCATCAAATAACTATCATGGACAACAACAAACCCAATGTGAGGACAATAAAATTGCATCTTGGATAAGAAGTATCATTTCTAGAATTTTATGATAGAATCATTGCTTCAAACAACTGCTCAATCTTTGTAGACAAATAGAATCAACTAAAGCAGACGGTAAAACTTCCCAAAAGAAAATATCATTTAGAATTAGAATCTTAATCATGCAATTTTACTAGAACACAATTTTCTCAGTTGCAGATACTCACTCAAAGGACTTTTGTGCATTAGGTGCACACAAAATCAATGGTGCAGAATGTAAAGCAAGATCGTGTTGCCTTGATAGAAAAAACAATCTCATCTTGTGATGGGAAAGAGAAATTGCTAAGCATAATATTAAAAAAAAAAAAAAAGGCACCATACATGATCAAGATGGAGTTTGAATAAGCATATTGTCATGAGAAATGAGTGGTTCAATGTATTTGGTAAGCCAGTCTGCAAAGAGGAGAAAAAGCATGCAAAGAAATGGTGCTCATATGTTCTTTTAGAAGAAATATGCTATCATTAGTTTATTGTTGCAACAAACAAGAAGAGAGCAATAGTCAATAAAATATTTATGTCTCTTAACTACATTACATCACCTACATGAATTGCAATTTTCTCATTCCCTTCAAGTCAACAAGAATGCCTTTGTAAGTAAGTTCACTAGATGTTTTAAAGAAAAAAAGATATAGGGCATGGACATCAACAATATGCCACAAACAATCATATCAGCTCTTGAATTGGCATTCGCAAAAAATTTTTGAGAAGAGCTCAGCAAAGGCATGACAAGCATTGATCAAATGGTAATGATCAAACAAGAAAGCACCAAATAAATTACCTTTCACTTGTCTTGTGTTTTCCCCATCCATGGTAAGTCCATGGTTGCAGAAGGAGGCATACCAATTTGGATTTCTGAAGAGCTTGAAAATTTCCCTTTCTTGGACCAAAGCCAGATCTTGGAAACAGAGAAGCTCTCACCTTTTGTCACACTGCTAATCTTCTTCCCTTCCCCATCCCTCTCAGCTGAAGACTTTCCACTTTGCTCTACATCGTTTGAAAGCTTAATATCACAGCCATGTTGATCATTAGACAAGGCAACCCTAAGATCTGAATTACCAAGCACATACTGATATGAACCCATGGAATAACACCTTCTTGCATCCAAATTACTGCTGCTACTCTCTCCTCCTGCCTCGGCTGCCCCATTGTTCAGCCTTTTGAATTTGCCTAGTCTGACAGGCAAGATCCCTTTCTCAACAACAATTTCTTCCATTTCCACTGTCTTCTGACCAGGGGTAAATCCATTTTCTCCATGACCAGAACATCCATTATCTTCTCTTACATCGTCAAAATCAAACATTGGATTTTCCATTGAGAAGCCAGGAGCGAACAGAGTTCCTCTACAGAGAGGGCATGTTGAATTTGATAGTAGCCAAGTGTCTATACAATTTATATGAAACGCATGGCTACACATAGGAAGCAATCTCAGCTTATCTTTCTCAGAAAACTCACAGAGACAAACAGCACAATCAAAAGGCTCCTTTAGACCCACTATCTCTTTGTACTGGAAAACAGGAAGAGCATCTATAAAAGCTTGATCCAAACCAGAATCATGGAGATGGAAAAGTTGTTGTAGCTGCCTTTGTAGAGCATCAGACCTGGACATATCTGGATATCTATTAGATTGAGATCCCGAGGACGAAGGGTGCTTTACGAGAAATCTAACAAGCAGATGGAGAAGACCAGAGATGAAAAACAGAACAGCCAAGATCACTATAATGAAAAGAACTGCAGGACTCCTACCAGATGATGCTGGTGATGACGAAGAGGTTGATTCTCTGTGAAACGAACTGGCATATGGCGGTGGATATGAAGCGGAGAGAGGAGGTGGGTATGTCAAATAACCATCCTTATGATAGATTTTATGCTGAACCCAAGACATCTTCAGATGAGTATGCCCCAAATGCCACCTATTTTCTCTGCTTTCTAACATTCCACAGATCATATGGGAATATTCAAAAACATACTCCTCCTCACCACAGAGATCGATCTCAATCTCAAACCCAACTCATATATGAATCTCCAATGCTAAAAATTAAATAGTATTTCCCACCAACATGAAACCCCCAATAATTCAATAGCTTCTTTTCCCTCTTTCTTCCCAGATTCAAAACCAAAGAGTATGACTTAACATAGTAGCAGTTGGTTGTTTGGTGCCACAAATACAATTCTTTGAAGAACATATACCACATCAAAGGAAACAAACCCCAGTGAGTAATTTGAGCAATAAGAGTAGCTGAATAAACAAAATAGTTAAGGTTGAAACTCACCTCACTTTGATTCTTGAGAGTCCACCCTTAATAAATAAACAAAAGGGTCTTCTAAAGTTCCAATCTTGCAGCCAATAGAACCCTAAACACCTTACCCTTTATGCCTCACTGGTTGATATATATAACACCAAAGAAATTTAGAAGAGGAAAGTGAGAAATGGTATCTATCTATTTATCATTATTATCCAACTCTCTCTAGTTCCTGGTAGAAACAGAGAAAGCCAGAAGAGTGGCAGCAGCGGTAGTTTTCCAAAGTTTAGAAGAGGTAAAGGATGCCATAATGAAGGGCTGAAATTGAGCTCAGACGCCATAAAAAGCGCGTGGAGTTCAGATGGTCAACCAGAAGAAAACAAAGTGAAAGCCTAAGTTACGCGGGCTTTGAGGTGGGCCTGTTTTTATTTCAAGAAAGTTTTGGGCTGGGTGATTTGGCAGAGGAATTTTGCTGTGTTTTCCATTTAAGGCTATAAACTTTTTTGGTTTCTAAATTAGGCTGTCAGTTTTTTTTATTTTTATTTTTTATTTTTATAAAATAAGGATTTGAACTTTATGAGTTTTTTATTTAAAGATTTAGTGTATTTGTGAACCGCGTCATCACCACCGTCCACTAAATCCTTAAATGAAAAAAAAAAAAAACAAAATTCATATCATGATTTTCAAAAAAATAAAAGTTAATAACCTTATTTAAAAACCAAAAAGAAAACTGTATCTTTAAATTAAAAAAAAAAACCAAAATTTATATTTTTACCTACTTCATTACTCTTGTTTGGTAATTGGTATGTTTGTGCATTAGCAAATATCAAGAATTTAAACCCATCAAACTCTAAAGGTTGAATTTATTAATAAATAAATATCATTTTGTAAATTAAATTTAGTGTTTAAATCTTGAAATCAACACTCAAATAAATTAATATTAATTTTTTTAATACATCAAATTGATATTGGATGCTTTTAAGATCACTTAAAGGGTGATTAGTTTTAAAACGTGTAAAAATATATGAACAAAAACAATAAACATAAAAATGAACAACTAACACTAATTATCTTATTGCTCTAGTTTGGCAGATTTCATTATCTTATTATTATATTTTATTTTATCTTGTATTATAGTTTTGGTTTTTGTTACTTGTACAACAATCAGAAAAGATTATTTGTCACATTTCCTGTGTATTTGTCTTTGAATGTTGCATTTTCTTGTATTTGTGGGTTAAGAAAGAAACATACGAGTTCACATTTAATATTAATTAATAGATCTTTATCTTGAGTGTAAAGAGAACTAGAGTTTTTTTGGCTGACAATTAACATGGTAGCTGGATGATGAAACAAGAAGAAAGGATATAGTAGACTGTTAGGTGAAATGCGCTGTAGTTGGCATTCCACAATGCAGCAGTACCTTCCTCTTAATCATTTCAATCTGTAAGACATGATTACCTGTTGATAATGAGCACGATGATGATGATTTTGATGCTTGGGCACGCGTTAATTAGTAGTAGGGTTTAATTGGAGATCGAAATTCTCTCATTTGAATTTGGGTTACTAAATGAAAAAC